TAACTGTTGCCACAGTGACGTGGTCCCACTGTATATATACCCCTGGAAAATAAACCCGCAAGGGAGTTGTCTCTGGACTCTGGTGTTTGTGTGTACCTCTGGATTACCTTATACTGTGGCGTCGCTGGAGCAGCAAGACAAGGTTATGAGCCGTTTTTTACATGCCAGTTAGGACATTGCTGGACGTGGGCATTTATGATAAACCCAAGGTTTACGATTTTTCTTACATTGGCCAGCACCAGTCAGAGATACCCCATTCCTCTTGTTTTTAAAGCTTAACTATTTTTTTTTACGTATCCGTTCCTTCAGAACGAGCTTCATATTCTTATTATATTTATATTTTTATTTACCCACGGTGCTTTGTTTTTTTTTACTTTTTGTTTTATTCATTAAGTCATTGACCACACAGCCAGGCCCATTTTCTAAGGGATGTGTACCTGGGGCATGGGACAGTGTCTCCTCACGGGGGAAGTGAACGGGCCACCTCTATCCTTCTTTCGGCCTTAAGCCGCCATCCTCCTCTTGGGTGGATCATCTTTCGGGCTTCCCCTCGACAGAAAGTCTTACAATATATATATATATATATATATATATATATATGTATTTGGGTAGGATGGAGCTATGGTGTGATGGTCCATTTGCAAAGTGATGGTGATGGAGGGATAGTGGGGTGACAATACCTGTAAATATCTGAAGAACATCAGACACCGACAAAGTTAAAACTAATAAAAAACTTATAATAATTCCTTAAATTCAGACAATAGGTAAGAATATCGGTAAATCTTCAAAAAAGCTATACGCTCTGGCAACACTTCTTTCGTCCAGGATAAATTCCTGACTGCGTCCCTTACCAAGCGAGCATGCACAGGTTAGCCAATAGTTCAGTTCAATTCCAGCTCTCAGCGTTGTCTGGGAACTGTTTAATGTTGAAAATTGTGTGTAGTAGACGTAATGATCATTGTTTCATTTTCATCCTAAAGTATCATAATGTATGTGTGCGTGTTCTCTCTTTTTCTCTCTCGCTCACTCACACACACACACATTATTCTGTGTATTATATCGGTATTATATGCCTGCGTGGCTCCCACGTGGACACTCACAGATGCCACGTGGCTCGCCCATGCTTGACGCCCCACGCTACCGAACCCAAGCGACGCTGCCCTCATCGGATATCAGAGCCCGCGTTTGACCGGTCAATCAGAGTGTGCTCTGGTGCGGCGAGGTCAAGCCTGATCCTCGCTGCCAGTCTGCCCACCGGGGCTGGGGCCGCCCGTGACCCAAGGGCGACCCAGCGAGCTTAACCCACTGGTGCCGGGTATGATGTGTACATACGTGCTATGCCCACCGTGAGTACTTGTTTGATTGTTTTTACGCATAGATGGCAACACTTGTACTTAATCACCAATGAGCCAACTACGAGTACCACCCGTCTCGCCCGTTTACCCGTTTCTTTGATTTACAAATTATTTTACGTTATCTTATTTTGCTGTTACTAATGTTAAAAAACATTATAAAAATTATAATATTTATAATAAAATAACACCATCGATTTTCATAGCACTAGTGAAAAATACGTTTTTCCCGCCATTTCAAATCAGGCGCTAGCAGAGCCATCTATCGGCAGACATTTCACGAAAAACATAGAAAGTGGGCACAGCATTTTCTCCATTTTTTGTTCATTTTCCCCGGCACTATTGGGTTAACCCAAGACTGTCTCGTTGTGTTAAACATATCTCGTGTGCTAGCTCTTACAGAATAAAAAGTGTAAAGCCACCCAAGCTTTTACTGTCCTGTCACCAATGTATAAGAGGTCAACTCATATTCTTTACACACACACACATATATATAGAGATAGATAGATAGATACACACAAACACACACACATTATATATAAATATATATATATATATACATACATATATATATATATGCATTTATATATATATGTGTATATATAAATACGTATATGAATATATGTATGTATATTTGTATATATAAATATGTATATGAATATATATATATATATATATATATATATATATATATATATATATATGCATATATATATGTATGCATATATATATATATACACACACACTCGTATATATAAATATATATATATATATATATATATATATATATATATATATATTATACATATATATATTATATATATATAAATATATATATATATATATATATATATATTTTATATATATATATTATATATATATAAATATATATATATATATATATATATATATATATATATATATATATATATATATATATGCAAACACACACTCAAACACGCCCACACATATATATACACACACTTACATACATATATATATATACACACACACGAGTGTGGGAGGGGGAGGGTGTATATGCGTGTGTGCGCACACACACACACACATACCCACACACACACACACACACAGACAATATTTTAATGAATTTTTTAGGATCGTAAAATCATTCGCCAAAAATTGCCCAAACTATTCAAGTGGTTATTAAACAGTGTGTATCTTCTTGTGGTAACGCATCCATACTCAACAACGGCATTGGTACATGTGCGCAGTTAAAGCATGAGAGAGGAAGCGTTTGCAGATAGTGCTTGCTCATGTAAAGGGTCCGAGGTTGAGGGACGAATTAGGATAATTCTGCGCTATATTTCCTTCAAAATACACTATTGAGAGAATCTTACCGATAGCCAGTACTCCTAATTAGTATTTGATCGCCCGAGCATTAACAAACACCTCCGAAGGGTTCGTTGCTCTTGACCTTGAGCCGTACAGTCGGGTTTCCCTTTCTTTCCTACTTTTGATGCCAAGCGGGCGGAACCTTACTCTATCCTACAAATTTTGTTTTGACTTATAAACTACAATAGAGTAAGAAAAAGTTGTGAGCACTTATTTGTTCAGTATGTATGTCCCGTAGAACCTAACAATCCATCAGAATAGCAAGCTGAACGAAACAGTTAGAATTCCAAAATCTTAATGTTGACATGTAAATCAATTATGATTTTTGAAAAAAGTACATCACATACGCTAAGGGAGTGTCAATACTATCTCTCCCTCTCTCTCTCTCTCTCTCTCTCTCTCACACACACACACACACACACACACACACACACACACACACACACACACACACACACGCACGCACGCACGCACGCACGCACGCACGCACGCACGCACACGCACGCACGCACACGCACACACACACACACAGATTATCATTATCTTGGCCGGCACTTATCACAAGTGATATTTGTTTTTATTTCAACCCAAAATGAGCGTAAAAATAGCGTGAATGCAGGAACAAATCATAAGACGACGCAAAACACGAATAATTCAGTGTACGTATCAGAATGACCCTTGAGCAGACGAAACACGAAGCTAACTAAATATCGAAGAAACATATGAAATGACGCAATTTTGAATGTGAGCGAACGTGAGGAGTGGGTATAATATTCTTTGAGATAACTTAAATGGTGCAACTGTGGTGGATGTGTTTCCCGTCGTCCCGTAAAGTGGTGCAACTCTCGGAAATATACTAAGGCGTTAAGAGTATTTTGTAGTAATAAACACTGTTGAAATACTGTTTACTTTTGGTGCTGTTCCATATCTTCTTGTAATAATACGAGTTATATACTTCCATACATAACTATTGAATTTATAAGCTGTGGAAACTATGTGAAAAAAAAGGCATCTTGCCATATGAGGGTAATACGATTTTTTTTCTTACTATATATTCACTCGTATCAGTACAGTGAGATCGATTATTAGTACACCAAGATTAATGACATTCTTTAATGATAATAAAAGTAGGGATAGTACCGTCAACATTAATAAGGATAAAATGATCAAGAGTCAACGAAAAGGGTTGCCATGTATGCTTGGGCTCATCCTTTTAAGTAAATGTATCCTTGCCCCGCGTCCAGTTGAGAACTAGCAACCCCAGCGAACATCGAAAGGTATCTGAGTTCTAATCAAAATGCATGTCCATTTGCTTGTTAGTGTTATTATGCAATTCGAGTTAATTTCCATACTTTTTATGTGAATATCAGGCAGTACATATGTTGCATTGTTACTTAAAAACAAAACGAAAATATAGATGGTGTTCACGGTCACCAAGAGCACCTCCGTCATAAAATAACGCTTTGTCTTGTTTTTACTCTTCACTTTCTGTTTCATTTTGGAGCCTTTTGTTTGCGAAACAGCATGGAAAGGGTGGTCATGCATAGCCAAAGGCAGTGGACCTTGTCACAATATCGGAATTTTTATATTGGTATCGAATGCTGATAAGTGATCGCTGATTTTTCCTCCCCATAGCCTCCAGGATGGTGTGGGAACCTTCATCGTGTTGTGGGATCGGCAGGAGGACAGCCGGTTACGTCATAGCCTCCATTACAGCCGTGAGTACTTTGGAATGTTAATATAAACTTGTGTATTGTGAAACGCAATTGTACCAAGAGGTAAAGCAATATTATAAACGCTGTGGATATTCGTCCGGCACCAGATCTTATCATAATTTGGCTATGCGCATTAACTATTTGCGCGAGTTTCGTTGTTGTATCTCGTCTCTGTTGGGTTATTTTTTCCGGCATTTTCTGTCGGACACCTATCCTGTAGAGCTATTTTTCCAGCAATATTGCAGGATGCAATTTATGTTTGCCCAAAATCCCCAGCTTCTCATTATTCGGCAATTTTGTTTTCAGAGGTCCCCGTGTGGAAAATAAATAGCAGAGATAGTAGAAGTAGATAGAAGGCGATAGCTGAGGGTTGGGTTGGGTTATTAGGTAAGGTGGTTAGGTTAGGTTAGGTTAGGTTGTTAGGTTATGTCAGGTCTCATTTCTGCTGGACAATCTTGTTTGAATGTGCTTAGAAAATGATAAATATCAATATAGCAGATCAGCATACTGTAGTTACAAGACTGTTAAGTTTAGTCTTTGTGTAAGTATAATACACAAAAATCCAGATCCGCAACCATAAAAAAGGCGCCAACGTTTGTTTTGATGATTGCGCAAAGGCGAGTGTGTGTTAATAGTTAATGCGAATGCGTGCCGGACGAATAGCCAAAATGTGATGAGATCCGGTGCCGTCGAATATCCACGGCGTATTATAAATGCGATGTGCTTGTGTGATAATCCTCTAATTAATTTGCTGTTTATATTAGCGACTTCCGGTTAAAATTCCTTTCCCATCCCTAGAATCTGAGAATACATTAATTAATTGTCTCGTTTCCTACGCAGATTTACTGTATATTTGACACGGTTTTGACCATTTACTACTTGTCCAACGGGAAATTCAATGTTATCTTGGCTGACCATTGCGAGAAGCTGTCAAGTGGTGAAGACTTTACCAAGAATTGTATTGACGTAGCTCAAAGAACCTGTAAGTAACTTTATATTGTTGCTGTAGTTTAATATCGTAGTTTGTTGCAGAATTGAAAGAATTTTGACATTAGTTCATTCAGACAACTTTATAGTAGTTAAAAGAAATATTTGGTTAACAGGTTTAAAGTAACAGTGTAATCGGACAATTTTGTATTACAGGTTAGAAATTGCAAATTCCGATTAGCCACAATTTCCATATGTTCAGTATTGAAACAAAATACAACACCAATTCGTCTTGTTAGCGTGGTTTGATAGACGGTATTATTTAACAACGAAATTTAATTTATTGTTGTTTTACAGTTAATGGATTAATATCAGTTCGATTGGTGATGGAGATTCTTCATATCATTTTTAGCTTCCTCCTCATGCATGGCATCAGAACGGTAATAATTAATTTCGTTTTGTTCCGAATTCCATCTGTATTTGAAATATACTGTAGTTATAAAGTTTTTTTTGACAAGTTATATACAGAACACACATTGTAATTACAGTTATTTACAAAACACATTGCAGTAATCAAGTTATTTACAAAACCACGTACGCGCCCGCGTACCTTTCAATCTGTCTGCATACATATATATAACTATATTTAAAACTATAGTGCAAAAATTACATGCAATTACATCCATTTTTTTCAGACTAATCCACGTCTGATGGTTCCCTACCTGGTGATGATGTTGATTGCTATCGTCTTGTTGACACTGTGTTCTGCTTTCATGGTAGCGGTATTAATGGTTTTGAGCTTCAGGATTGGTCTGATAGGGGCTATCATCCTTGGAGGAATTATTTTCATCATGACTTACTTCATGCTCGTGGTTCGAGCCTATTATAAGGAGGTATGTCGTTTTTCCATACGTCCGGAGACAAAGTTCCCTTGATTTCAGTTATCTCTCTTATGAGACATTCATCATCTTTATGCTTATCTGTGTGATAATTATCAAATGGAACGTAATCCCGTTTTTCACACTTGCATTGCTAAATTATAAACGTATAGAAGACTTCGTTCAAGATATGGTTATTTTCAGGTAAATGAACCTATAAAGAATAACTTCGACAGACTGAAGGCTTAAAGGAAAAAGAGCTCAGAACGCGAAATCCTGGACTACGTGGACGAGCATCACCAAGAAAAGGATGTGAGACTTGATTGTTATGGTTGATCTCATGTTAAATTTGGGGATTCTCTTTTTTTTAATTGATGAATGGGTTATGTAAATCCAAAGATATACAATTTTCCATTAATGAATATTTTTATCCTTCAGTTCAATTACCAGAATATATTCAATAACCATCACATCCCTACTAGTATTATACATTTGTTAATTGGGTTACCAGATACTGGTGTTAATTGGTTTACCAGATACTGGTGAAACGTTTGCTACTTGTCATTAGTGTTTTGTCAATACTTAACAAATAAACACGCAAAATGCATGTCCATATCCTTTTTATTTTCAGTTACCTTTTAATGAAGCAATGTTAGGAACACGTAGCTCATCGATATTTATTCATAATGTGTAAAACCATGTAAGCAAATATATAGATATACAAAGACTGGAAAAAAATATACTCGTGGAAAGTTTGCGCAGCTTTGTAATGTACTTTCAACAAAATAGTAGATAAAACCTGTAATAACTTATGAAAAAAGCTATCTGCCATCTAAAACGGTAGCAACATTACCACCCCTTGTCATTCCTAGAAGGAAAACAAAGACAGACACGATCCTCAGATGTGGAAGAATGTCTGATGCAACAGCTCCTACACTGAAGAAACAGGCAGAGCTCAGTTTCCTCTTCTGTATAATTTAATATGGTAACGATACCAGTACTATAGCTCTTTTTAGCTACACAGATATAGTTAAAAAAAAGCTAAGTAAACATGATGGCTGTGTTTAAACCAACATGAATGACTATTTTTCCATAATAAGCACGGGGAGAAATCACTGGCGTCAACATTGAATTATCTATGAGGAAAAAAATATCCTTTTTTTCAATTTTTCTTAGTACCAAAATGTAGCATTTTATCATACACCTGTGTGAGTACGATAGTAATCTTATCTGAAATTATGGCATTTATTATTTTCCAGTAATTGAAACGGCTTTAAGTTCATAATATGTACATATTTAAGCGACGTTCCACTTCAGATTTGGCTTTCTCTACATGTGTGTCTGTCTGTCTGGGAATAAGCAGAGCTCTCAAAGGCATTGAGAGAGGATAAACACCAGAAACCATCTCACCATAACTGTTTACAGCTTGCCTTAAGGAAATATTAAAGAATTTAAAATGGAAGGGGAACGGCATCAAAATAGGGAACTTTTCGCAGCTGCGTTTAATGATCACGTGATCACGATCCCTATTATAGACCCTGCACGATCCCTCGGTGAAAAAGCACAAATTGTTAACGTTGCCTCTTAGGTTGCCGTAATCTTGACACATACTTGTATATAGGCCTTAAAATCAGCTACTTTGGCAGTATATCCTCTGTTCCTGTTCTCGGATTCATCTGCTTGAAGAGAATAAACTGAAAACATGATCACACACATATACTTATATGTTTTTTTTTATTCATTCCTTGAATTATATATATATATACACACACACACATACACACACACACACACACACACACACACACACACACACACACACACACACATATATATATATATATATATATATATATATATATATATATATATATATATATATTTTATATTTATATCTTTATCTGTATCTTTATGAACAAACATATTATGATGAGACCCTCATGACAATTTATATATACATATATATATATATATATATATATATATATATATATATATATATATATATATATATATATATATAAATGTATGTATATGTGCCTCACGAAAATAAATATATACATCTACATCTCTATTTACACACACACACACACACACATATATATACATGTACATATATACATATAAATGTATGTATATATGTATGTATATACATATTATTGCACACATACACACATACACAAATGTATATATATATACACATCACGCAAATATCTGTATATATATATATATATACATATATATATATATATATATATATATTTATATATATATATATATATATATATATATTTATATATATATATATATATATATATATATATATATATATTTATATATATATATATATATATATATATATATATATATATATATATATAAATAAATATCTATCTCTATATAAATATATAAGCACATACACACACACAAAAGGGCGTTTCTGAGGGTTGCCACTTACTGCCAAACTCTTCCTTTTAAGCCAAGACGCTTTATCCTATCTGCCAGTTGCTTGTGGAAGGGAAAAGCGAATATCTTGAACACTTCTTAACTCCTTTTGTTTTGTTTTTACTTTTCCCTTTCAATTCCCTTTCAATTTCGTTTTAAACCCGTTGTTTGCGAAACATGATGGAGAAGCGTTCATGCATGTCTGTAGCCAATGGATTGTGTCATAGTGGTTAATTTTAGTTTGGTTTTGAATGCTGATAAGTAACAGTAAGTTTTATTACTTCTTTACTAACCTGACAACACGCATAATTGCTTTTAGTTGGTCCAGATAATTTACGGGATCGATAATTTTCTCATTTCCTTAGTCTTAGCCTTCAACATGCTGTGGAATCAGTAGGAGGACTTCATCATAGCCTCCATTTAATCCATAAGTACTTTTTGATATTTAGTAAGGTGTAATGCATTTACAGATAGCATTAAAAACAGTTGTTATAATAAGTAACGTTATCTTAGAAGACTTGATTTTCCTTTTGATTTTATGAGTTTAGTTGATGATATTGCGCTTGTGGAACGGGAGATAAATTGTTAGAAAATACATTAAAAAACTGTAACAGGTCTGTTCAGACATTTTCATACATATAGTCTGAATATAATTTATTGCGTCACTAGATAAATTAAGGACTCGTTTCTTAGGTAGATATTCTGTGCGGTTGAAATGGTGTTTACCGTTTTTCATTTTTCAACGGGTACATGAACAGCTGATGGAAAAACATTGCAACTGGTTTCCAGATATATTTATATATGTTCATGATATATATAAATACATATATATATATATACCTATATAGGTATATATATATGTATATACACACACATATATATGTATACATATATGTATGTATGTGTGTATATATATATCCATGAATATATATATATACATATACATACACATATATATATATATATATATATATATATATATATATATATATATATATATATATATATACATATATATGTGTGTGTACATATATATGTATACACACATACATACATACATACACACACACACACACACACACACACACACACACACACACACACACACACATATATATATATATATATATATATATATATATATATATATTCATTGATATATATGTGTATGTATGTATGCATGGGTATGTGTGTGTAGATATATATATATATATATATAGATATATATGTATATAGATATACACACACACACACACATATATATATATATATATATATATATATATATATATATATATATATATATACATACATATATATATGTTACACGCACACACGCACACATATATATGTATGTGTGTGAGTGTGTGTGTGAGTGTGTGTGTGTGTATCTATACACACACGCGCACACACATACACACACACACACATACATACACACATTTGTGTGTGTGTGCGTGTATATGTATGTATCCATGTCGTAATGAAAACGAAACGACATAGAAAACCACGAACGTTAGTGAAATTGTGTGACCGGCCTGAGGCGGAGTGCCTCAGGGGGGGGTTAGATACCAGCGAGACATGAGGGAAAACGGATCACGGATTTCTTGTGCGATGAACCCGGGACTTGCCTTATTGGTAAGGGATTTACATTGTTAGAAGTGTTAGTGTCGATAGTGACTCGTTGAGCAGGTGTGGTATCTCAAGGATTTAATATTGGACAATATAGATAAGTTATCTATTTGTTAGTAAATTAGAATAACCTAACTAATTGTTTGTATTATTCCTCATATTTTTATAAAGAGTTTCTCCCTTCTCTTTCAAGAGGGAGTGGTGGCAGTGCTATTTTAAGTTCTTAGTTTGATAAGACAGGGAAGTATAGACTAGAATTATTTTAATAAAGTCGTATAATATTTCCTGACAATTCAATTAAATAATCGAATAATTATCATACGATACCCATATATATATATATATATATATATATATATATATATATATATATATATATATATATATATATACATATATATGTATATATATATATATATATATATATATATATATATATATATATATATATATATATATATATATATACATACATGCATATATGTATGTATATATATATACATACATACATATATGTATATATGTATGTATGTATGTATATATATTGATATATATATATATACACATATATATATGTATATATATAAGAATATATATATATCCATGCATATATATATGTATATATATGTGTATATATATAAATATATATATATATATATATATATATATATATATATATATATATATATATATATATATACATAGACATATATGTACATATATATATGTGTATATATATATTTACACACAAACCCAGACATATATATATATATATATATATATATATATATATATATATATATATATATATATATATATATGAATATACATATATATATGTATATATAAGTATAAATATATATATATGTATATGATAGATATCTGGCAATGAGTAAGAGAGGTGTCGCGGTTAGTTCAGTGATAATAAGTGCTAAAAAATGCGAGTGAGAAGTGATCAGTGAAAGTGCTACATAAGATAGAGCGATTCGTGAATATATAGAGCCTATATTGCAACCAAAATAGAAGTAATGCCTCATAATTCTATAAAATTCAATATTGGTCATGCATACGTGGACGTTTTAAACTTAAAGGGATGCCACAAAGTGCCAACTAGGAATCCTAGGTCTCATCAACATGCTAAATAAGTTCATAAGGTCCCAATGCTCATCCAGAGTGCCACAATAGATAGAATCAAGAAAAAAGAAAAAAATCACTTCCCATCAGGAAAGGAATACCAAATTACGATACCATTAGGAAATGGCAAGCATCACCGCCCCCCATATCCACAGGACGCCGAGCAACTGCCAAATCGCACGGTTATTACAGTTCAGTTTCCCCTCAAGTAGATTCCCTACGGAAGAACCAAACCGCCAGTATGTAAGTATATATATATATATATATATATATATATATATATATATATATATATATATATATATATGCATATATATATATATATATATATATATATATATATATATATATACGTATATGTGTATACATACATACATACATACATATATATGTACATACA